CCGCCCACCCCTGTAACCTGTCTAGATCTGATTGCAGCCATTATGGATGCTTTTAATCCAAGTCATGCAGTTAAGGTGAGTTATTCTTCTTGGAGTTTGTATGAACAACTTGCCTGTCTCAGGAAAGTGTTTTAGATAGTTCAGATACTGTAATTCTGCATGGTGGACACCTAAGCAAGCAAACTCATGGTGTTTTATACCCTTTGTGCCCTGCTGCTTTTCCCATGGAGCAAGGTTTGTTGGACCAGCACACAGTAGCTCTGTCCCAGATAGCATACTGGCTGTTTCTTTTCATTTGTTTTAGTCTGTGATCTCTTACAGCTCTTTGTGATGGTTGGTGAGCTACAGTTTGCCCTCCTGCTCCTTTTATAAAAGAAATGTCTAATTCAAGAATCTAATAACCACTGAAAAAAAAAGGTTAATAAGTTAAGGAAAGGTTAACTAAGAACATCTATGGGCTAAATGTTATGAAATGACAAATTATGACAGTCTCCACCTTATCTTTATATTTCCTTCAGGTTACCCTTATTTCAAGCCAGTGCTTTCGCTTTCTTAGCACCTGCCCGAGCTATTCTCTCTTTGGAGAAGTGGAAATGTAATAACACAGGTAAATGCAAGTCATGTATGGTAGTTTTGTCCTAACTTGTCTGTAAGTGATCCATGTTACCCAGAATGAAGCATCTGATTTGTTGCTAACATATCCCTAGATGCATTAGTGACCACTCTCTCTGAGATGAGTGGAGACTAGGAATAACATACTGTAGTTCATGACATTTAAACTTTGCAAGAAATGAGCAACCATTTTTAAAGTGTCTTAAGAACAGGGGAAATCCTAGCAGTGGCATAGGCCCGGTATTGAACGGAAATGACTAAAATACGTGATGCAGAAAAGATAGAACGACTTGGTAAATAGTTTATACCTTATTCAGAAAGAAGCAGGATGAGGAGGTAGTTTGTCTTCCATTAGGAACTAGGAAGAATGTTAAGCAATACCTGCAAGAGATGGGCAGTTCTGTATTGCTCCCACCTGGTGCTGTAAGAGATGACTGCAGAACTCACTCACGTCAATATTCACAGAAGTCATTGATGGTTAGGCAAGTTCTAATGTTGGGACAGTGTTTAAAGAGAATGAGCGGGATAAATCCCTAATTACCTGGCCAATGAGTCTGTCATTAATCCTAGGCAAGATATGGCAAAAACAGATACAGGGCTTACTTAAAAAGAATGAAAGGATAGAAATAAAATTAATGTCCGTGAGAGCTTTTCTATGGAAATGTCAAAAAAACCCTCGGTTTACCAGCCTATGCATTCATTACATTGATTAAGAATGAGCTAATTGGCAGACCTTTGAAGTAGGCACTTTGTTTTAATTCCTCTCTCCACATAATCAGCAGGGAACTGAAGTACTCAGCCTGGGTGGCTTCTACCTCATGTACCACTGCCAATTAAAAATAAATATATAAAATAAAAGAATCAGGCCACATTAGTCCTTGCACCATTTCTGTACCAACTCCAGTGTCTTGAGTGTTTTTAGCTCCAGTGCATAGTCACATTTTAGATGAAGAATGTGTTTTAAACTTCACTGTCTGGACTGTCTTGAAATGTGTTTCAGTTAAAAGACTGGCATGGAAGTAATTTCAGTGCTCTCAATTCACTTTGCGCTGAATTCTGTTGTATTTCCCATGGTCTCTTAACTTTCCCTCTTGCCCTTTTATGTAATATTAGGAGAAAGCTATCAAATATATGTTTGTGAAGTAAAGTTGCTAGTGCAGGAAAACAAGCCATGGGTGTTAGAAAACTTAACCCAGTAAGGTGCCAGGGGTGGTGAGCCATATAAGAGGTGCATATTGGCAGTTTATGTGGCTGCTGAATGTATTCCCAAATTGATTTATCCATAGTGCCCTGTTAACAGCCAACCTGTACGTATCCTGCTATAGCTTATTGCTCTGTTGAAAATCAAGTAAGCTGTCGGTTAATAAAAGTTACTGTGGCTAGTAACGTTGGGCATCTTCAGTTTGTGTTTGAAAATAACCATTGTCTGCTTCTAACTCTTAAAACAGGAGTTCCTTAGTGTTCCCCTAGTTAGCTGAATTTTAAACAGTTTGGGACTGTTTGAGATGCATTATGCACTCAAGTAATTCTCACTATGAAAACTTTCCCATTCAGTTCTCCACTAGACTAAAGAGAGTCCTCCTTGGACACTTTCCACTCTGGTAAAGTGGGCTGAGTTAATGGCTAGCCTTTAGGAATTGCACATTTTGTAGGAAGAAGCGATTGTGTGGGTTCGACATGGGGAATTTCTTACTTTGAGAGTAAGTAGTCATGAACAGGAAATGCTTGAAAACATAAAAATTTGCTAACGTGTTAGGTTAGATTTTACCTTGCTCAGTAATAACAAACCAAAGTGTGGCGTGGCAATGAAAAACATTTATTTTTTGTTTTTATAAGCAATAGCGGTTACTAATGGAACAGCAGAGCTGCTTCACACCGAACATATCTGGTATCCCAGGATACGAGAGGTAACGTGGAATTGACCTTTCACTATTGCTCATCCCATTTCAGTTGAGAATTCTCATCCAAGCGTCTTCATATTCTTGTTTTTCTTTTAAGTTGATCATTTCTTCTGCCACTATCATTCGATTTGGATATTTCCCTTTATTCGCTTCATGCAAATTTGAATATTTCCAACTTGTTTGTTCGTTGCTGAAAAGCAAATGCAACAAGTTAGTTACCACATTCAAAATTATATCCAGTCAAATACACGAGAGGCTAGTATTCTGCTGCTTTTATCATTTTGCAATTTGTGCTCACCTGTAAGTGTTAAACAAGGCATTAGCTGCTATCAAATGACTTGCCTGCTCTTGCTGAGTAATTCAGTAGGCTGCTTCCTACAGAAAATTTCCTGCTGTTTAGAAACCTCACTAAAAAGAGATTTTTCTAAAGTTGGATACAGTTCTGATAGGACGTTGATTCTCCCAAGAGACTTGCTGAGTGTCCAAGCCCTTCTCCACTCCCACCATTTAAATGTGAACTTCCTCATCCTTTACAGAGTCTCAGATGAGTGCTGAGCCCAGGCATCACACTATCGAGTGATAGATAGCATAGTCCAAATCAAGGCGTGTCTCATGGAATTTATCTCCCATCCCGTTGCTTTGGGCTGCAAACTTTCTTAATTAAAAACAACCCCTCTCTCTTCCCCATGTTCAAACCATAGCTCCATCCTGCCAAGAGCCCTGCAGCCAAGAGGGCTGACAGTCTCCTGAGACCACAACGCTGCTCTATACCAGCTTCTAAGGAGCACTTGTGAACAATGCAGCATACACTGCCCCTAGGAGCTAAGAGCATCACCTCCGTGGCGCCACCAGCCCTTGCCGGTTCGATCTGAGAGCTTAAAGGTTAGCCTGGAACCCAGGTCTCCTGTATGACAGTGTGATGTGCTATCCACACAACTACCAGACTGGCCCACTGGTCTGTTGTGTAATAGTTTTGTGCAGAAAAACATAAGTGTTATGCTTAAGCAATAAGTCACTTAATCATAATGAGCTGTTGTATGACAAAAACAATTGGCTGTCTTCTTCTTTGTCACTGAATTCTTTAATTGCAGTTTATAATCCAGAGCAGAAAAAATAAATGTTTTGTATCCTCAGTGTCATTAAACTCTGTCTTTTCCTATTCTCTGTGTGTTCAGATTCAAGGTGCTATTATCATGTCCTCCTTGATAGAAGTGGTGATTGGTTTCCTTGGGCTTCCTGGAGCTCTGCTGAGATATATTGGACCTCTGACGATTACACCGACGGTGGCCCTCATTGGTCTGTCTGGTTTCCAGGCAGCTGGGGAGAGAGCAGGCAAACACTGGGGTATAGCTATGTTGTAAGTACCCTTGGGTATTGTTGACTTTGACTGACTGTTACTGCTTTGGTAAAATTCATGGACCCTCTAAAGAAAAAAACAGTTTTAAAAAAGGAGTTACACTGCAAACATTCAATTTGCTACTTCTTTTGAACAGCCTGTCATTGTTATTCGGTGGCGTGGGCACAAACCTACAGTGTGAAGAGTTGCGTTATATCGTTAATTGTGATCTCTCATCCCTTGGTAATGGTGAACTGGCCTGCATACTACTCTCTGCTGTAGTTCCCTACACATGTTGAGAGCTTTTTCCAAAGACAAAAAAACAAACCACGCTTTTTTGTTCAGTCATTGTCCTGTCTGCATTCTGTTTATTGCCATACATGTTATAGGTTGATGTTTAGTGTCAGTCACTGAGGAAATACCTTGTTTTTCAGACTTGATTACTGGCTTCTGCTCTTTATTTCTACGTTCTTCTTTGACTTAGTAAGTCTCCTTTCTTTTTTGTGTTTTAATTTGTACAGCAAGTCGCAAATTGACTGAGGTCTTCGCTGCAGCTCTTTACCTCTTCGTAATTGCTGTCAGTGAACAGCAATGAAATAATTAATTTTAATAGCACCAAAATCTAACCATGTTACTTCAGCATGATAAGTGAGATCAGTGAGGTCATCAAAGTGCTGGTACTTCTGAGTCAGTGCTGTCATTGCAGTGTTGTTTTCCTGCATTGGGATCAGTTTGTCGTTGGGTTACAAAGGTAATCGTCTATTAGGGTTAGGTACTTGGTTGTTTTTAAACAAGTGAAAGCTTATTTTTTTTCCAAAAAGCTAAAATGTCAGTCAGACCGCTTGAACACCCCACACTGAATGTTTCTGGTCTGCAAGCCTGCTTGCTGGACTTACTTCAGTCATTCTGAATTCCTAGATGGGATTGGACAATTATCTAGTCTGGTACCTTGAGAACCTGTTGGGAAAAATAAAAATTCCCTTATGTGTTTGCTCAAGCAGCTGACACTGAATATGAGAGGGGGAATTAATTCCTTATTTCAAACAGTCCAGGCTCTGAAGGAGGAGACTTGTTTTGCTCTCCTCTGACCTCAATTTTTCATAACTGCTTATCAGCTCCTGACTTTCATTGCTATAGAGCCTTACTTAATCACTTGTTAAAGAATTACACAGTGACTTGTTGATCAAGTTTTACTGTGTAGTCTGTATAAACTTGAATAGCACAGTTAAGCTGCCTCTGACTTGTGATTTCCATGGCCTCTTACCCTCCAAGTGCAACAGTACCTCTAATTATCCTGGATAGATAGGCTGCTTTGGACTGTTTCAAAGCCTTGAGTGGTTTTTATGGGATCAGGTAAAAAGAATAAGTCCCTGGTCACTACTGGAGTTTAGGAAAGATAGCATTGGTAGTGCTGCCTGGCATACCTTCTGCTGGCCAGCTGAATGCTTCCCTGTCCTTTGACAGAATAGATATTCAGAATTTTTGTACTACTGATGCATAACAAGACTGGAACTGTCGTCTGACTGTGAAAGAACTTCTTTGACTGGATTTTGGGCAAGGTCTGTTGATGTAAATGCCAAAAACAAGTGAGTAGATAGGGTCGAGCAGTAGGATTGATGGGATTGAAGTAAGATGGGAAAAG